TGTGAGAAGGAAAAGGGTCCATAGAAAAACAAATAAAGAAGTGTGATTCAAGTACAGCACGGCTTATTGTTTTAGTTTAGTTTTAACCATTGGAAGAAATATAATCAACCCTAAATTACAAACGTTATTATTGTGTGTTGATTATTATAAAAAAGGCCAGTAGGAATTGCACCACTCAAAGTTAGGAATTTCTATCCTAATTTTAACACTTCACCTTATTGCAGGGAGTACTTTAACATAAGTTCAAGTGGAGTGCGTTTTGACAGCATTAAGTATGCCACATTATTTTTGCCACTAATTTTCTGTCGTTTGGAAAAACGCAGTTGGAAGTGTGTGATACACCCTGAGACTGTTGAGTCGATTCCAGTTTCTACCATCTGAATGCAACATTGCTGTAACAGTGACACCAGGTATTTTAAAATCTTGGAAGTCTGTGACTTCTCCGTGTTTACTCATTATCTATTCATCTGCTTTCTATAAAAACACGATTGTAATGCTGTGCTGAGCGTGTCAGTCTGTTTATACATGTAGTGAAGTGACACGGCTCTAATAAACTCATAGGTTGGCATTACTCTTTGGCTAGTATTATATTCAGTGCCAACTTCATTTTACTTATTTAAATTCAAACTGTACATACAAATAATGTGGGTCAGTTTTCTTTCAGTGGTCAGTGAGCAATTCAGACGTACCAAGTTAAAAGCTGTAACTCCAGTTATTTCACTGCCATCTATAAATCTGTTTCGTCTGTTTTATTTTGTATCTGTTATTAAATAAGCGCCATAACAATGCAAGCTGTATTTATCAACATCACTCAGTCTCAAGCAGTGCTGCAGGTCAGATGTGGATTACATGTTCAGTGACATTTTGAAGTCAAAGCCGCCTGATTGAAGGATGGCGTGTTACCATTGACACAGATTCCCACTGATAATTGCCTTTTTTTGTTTTCACTCCAAATCAGTTGAGCTTGTCTCATTGTATTGCTATTGTCAGCTTTTTTTATTGCAATATTATGAGGTAACATAAAGTCATTCTTAAAGAAAAAAGGCGTGTTTGTTTTTGTTTCAGTACACTCCACATTTAGCATTGCACTCCTACAACATTGTCAGACTCGTGGTGGAGATATGTATTTATTTTTTGATCCGCACATTCTTTTTCCTTGTCATAACTTGGCGCCTACGTTACCCAAAATGCAGCTCTGTCACTTGAGGACATTTATCAGATTTCATGCAGCTCCTTCTAGAGCATGGCTATCATAGTTATTACAGTTAACTAAAACTAAATAAAAAAACTTAAACTAGGTGTAAAAAGTTGTTTTAAGTTAACTGAAATAAAAATAAAAATGGAAAATAACAAACGATATCATGTACTAACAAAACATGAAGGAAGAGTCATTGGTGTAATTGTTTAATGAGACTGGGATGTCTACACGACTGACTGATTGTACTGTAATTCCTATTCTGAACTTCTTAAATGGTGCCCCTGACAAATATCCCCCCATATTATAATAAAAATACCCAAACTAAAAAACTTTAAAACTAAAACAATAAAAACTAAACCAAATTGAAAACAAAATAAAAACTAATCAAAAATACTAAACTATAATAACTTTTTTTCACATAAGCAGTACTACGCCCCAACACCTAATAGACTTTTAAGATTATAACAGTAGAGTTCCCCTTTAAGATCATGCTTACAGGCTTTCATTTGTCAGAGGAGAAATGGTTTGTGTATATGTAAATGGACACAGCACATCTACTGTTTATATATAATAAGAAATAAGAGTGAGCATAAAACATTGAAGACAGCAGGAGAAATGTAGAAATGAACCCAATCAGTACAGGAACAATATCTGTGCTACAGTATTTTTATGCCCATATGGATGTTTAGGAGTAATTGTAATGTCTTATTTGGCCCTGCAGATAATTTGTTAGTGGCGGCTTCCCTTTATTCCTCTTTCTTCTTTTCTTTCTGATGGAAAATCTTCCCATCTGGTTGGACTCTCCACCGAAGCTTGAGCCCTTCATACTTTTTTTGGATCTATGGAAGCAAGACAAAAATAGCACTGACACCTTTTATTCAGATTAGCTAGTTATTATGTTACTATAATAGCTTCCCATGTACACGAACAGTGAGGAAACAACTTCTTGACTTTTAAAAAAGCAGCATTAATGTAACAATCGGTAGAACTTACTTCGATCAAAATGGCTTCGCTCATAGCTGAATCATTGAAGCTTGAAAATGAATTAGACTGTATTTCCACCCTCAAATACCTGACAACAGTCTTTACTGTGGTTAAACAAATAGAAATAATACATTACATTAAGTATAAATTCAGTTTTAAAACTGTAATAAGTACAAACAGTCATCCCCTTCATAACAAAAATAAATAAAAATACTGAGATACTGTACCTGATAGAATCAGGCTGTAACAGATATTATATGCTCACCATTATAGCAGAAGAAAGGATATTGCTGACCACAACCTCTATCCCACCAACTCTTAGAAGAGGGATTATACAACGTACAGACTCCGTCGTTATTAGGCTGACCGCTCGCCCACATTCTGAAGGAACTGTTGCTCTTGTCCGACCATTTCCACTCATCTCTGAACAAACCAGTCCAGAAAAAGGTCAGCGACGGCCCAACTGTTTGCTGTAAGGCCTGGTTTTCGGTCTGGTTTTTCACACTGACCAAGTCGTGATTGTTCTGTCGACAGTGAAGTTGGGCTTGACTCCAAGTCTTCTCTTCAAGAACAACATACATCCTGCTGGACTCCACTGTGAATATTGTAAAATGTACTGTAAGATTAAAATGTTAGAACAGAATGGTTTAAAAAAAGAACACACATACACACGCACACACTGTGTTGCTACTGGGTTTAAAGCTGCTGCGTGCCCTTAAAGTTGCATTAAAGAAACACTCCAGTCATTTAAACTGCACTTTCATTTAGTAAAAGAAGCATGGCTAACTCACTAAATCAAAGCAGCAGAGGCAGAGATATTCTTACTTTTAGTCTCTTTTAAGGGTCAGGTCCTACAATTGACCCTTCCTAAGCCCCGTCCCTTTTGGCTCTATGCTCCAATAACAGTTGAGCAAGCATTGTGTATGTCTGCCTTTATTTACTTATTTTGTCTGAATTTATTCACATACACATTTGTTGTATTAGAACTGTCATATGGTGTGACATGAAATGTATTTTATAAAAAATTAAAATTAAAAGAAAACCATTAAGGAGCAGCATATGGCCACTTTTCTTTGGAGCCATCTTGGCCCTGTAAAACCACAACAGTGCTATATGATTTCAAGTATGGGGTCAACACAGGTAATGCATTATGCTTCTGTCCTACTATGACAGTGGCGGATCTAGATGGGTGGCAGCAAATATTGATCTGATTGTCTGAAATTAAATTGGCATATATTTCTAACTTTCTAAGTCTCCATACCACCCTGTTAATATTTTATTAATATAACTAATAATACATTCAGAAAAACAAGGCAACATTTTTTTTCTCAAGTTAATGCATTACGCTTTCTTACCTTCCTGACAAACAAAGGGATGTGTTTCCACACAGGATGCACTAAGCCATTTCCCATCATCCCTCATGCCTCCACAGTAGTGAGAAGAATTAGGTAAACTAGCCCAGTTAGTGTATACAGCTAATCCGTCACTGGTCTGAGTTTCCCCCACAGACCACAGCCAGGACGCCACCCCGTTCTTTTTCAGACCAATCCAGATTTCTTTTGTCACGCCACTGGCTGCTGTCATGTTCACCAGCTTCTTCAGGTCATCATGGCTGCCAATGGTGGCGAGGTCAGTGTAGTTTTCTCTGCAGTAACTCTGGGCCTCGTCCCATTTCTTATTCTCATTTATCAGGTAGTACTCTCGAGTAATGTGTGAACACAAAGTGACACAACCTGCAGTGGCACACCCAGCAAAACATCAAATAAAACATTATTATTTAGTTTAATTTCACAATTATTCCATAATTTTACTCAGAGACACTTACCTGAAGCTAGCAGCAAAATCACCAGATGGAGCATACTTTTCCTAAGATATAAAGGGATTTATTATATAGAAGTTGATCAATCAAACATTTACTTACAAGGCTATACTGAAAAACACCTGAAATGTTTGTTAAATATTTAACAGTAAAATGAGGACACTTTAAATATCTCTATATCTCTACATCTATAATAGCCTATTTCTACTACAATTAAAATCATTGACTGTAGTAGTAAATGTGCCATCCAATGACTAACTTCTGCATAGCTATATCTGTAACACAACTGAAGAGCGTCCCAGGAAGCATGTGAGTGCTTTTCCCCCCAAAATTCCCAGAGATACTATTTTACAGTGAACTGTTGAGTGTTGCTATAGATCACTGGTTCCCAACCTGGGGACCTGACCCCCACTAGGGGTCCCCAAAGCTGCATGGGGGGGTCATGAGGTGTTCTGGATTTTAAGTGGTGTAAGAAAACTCTTATTAAACTATACTTAAAATATATAGTAGGCCTATATGCTAATCGAAAACTAAATGAAAACACTGAATATGCCAAAAATAAGCCTATTAAGTATGTCTGATTTTCAAAAATAAAAGAAGGCATGAGACAGAGAATTGAATAGAAAGTTCCTGAAAATATCTGGAAAATTCATCTCTGTAATATTCAGAGGAAATAATTTGACCCAAATTCAGATTATAACTCATTTTACACATACTTTATTGCGTTCACTATTTGGGTAAATTGTAAAGTTTATCAGTTGTTTTGTACTGGTATTGTTATGCCCTGGACATAATATGAAATATCCCTAAAATATGTCACTTAGTCATCAGTTTACTCAAGGATGTGGGAAAAGGGTGCTTAGTCTCCCTGCTGTACTTTGTAAATAATTCTATATTAATAAAATAATTCTTACCTTTGCAAAGATGTTTCCTCGTGGTAAATAAAATACACTGCGGCCAGTTTCTACTCTTTCCTTCTCTCCATGGTCGGATCCTTCCTATACCATTGTATTTGTCTTTATGGAAATACTGTTTGCAAATGATGTTGACATGTTTGCATTTAACAAAATAATCTGGAAAT